TCTCTCTCTCGCTGGGACCCCGTGTCATCGCCCACCCCGAGCACGGTGAGGCCCTCAGAGAGGCCACGGGCGCGTTCTCCGCCGGAAGCTCGGCGCCCGGGCCCGTTGCTCCGGGACGGCGCGAGGCCCGGGCTTGGTGGCCGAGATGGGGCGAGGGTAGCGGTTGGCGTGGGGTGTGTGGATGAATGAGGCGCCCTCGGACTAGGCCGCGCGTCCGGAGCACGGCCCACGCCTTACTCCCGCACGCCCCGGGGAGAGCCTGCTCCGGAGGCCGGGACCGCCAGTGGCCCAGTCCAGAGGAGGAGCTGGTGGCTGGGGGCCCGCTTTGGCTGGGAGGCCGGCCTCCCCTCGGTAGGCCAGAGGACTGGACAGGCTCCGCTCCTGCAGCTGCTCTTTGGAGGCCTGGAGGTTGGCTGGAAACAGGTGTCCAGACGCTGAGAGGGGGTCAGGGATCAGAGGCTGGAATATTACTTTAGGAGCGGGGCTCCGGCGTGGGCCTAGGAGGTACAACTCGCAGCCAGAAGATAGGGACAGTTTTTGTTCCTAGCTTCTAGGGCATCTGGTTAGCAATCTAAGTGAACTCAGTTTGCAGTAGTGGAGTGAGATTCATTCTGCATGGACGAATTTGGAGCCAGAACTAGCAAGAGACAGAAAGTTTCGACTTGTAAACAAAAAGGTTTGGTGGATTCATTCATGATTGGAAGTCACCAGAATGTAGATTTCAGGTTGCTTATTAGGTCTGATGAGCCGGACCTACGGTTGCCAAAGGTGGCTGGGACTTGGTTGGAGGGACCCCGACACCTGCTGTTGTGTTCACCCTTGTGAAAAATGGGGGTTGTGGGCTAATGGAAAGATGAGGTTCCAGATTATAGAGGAATGGTTTGGTGAGGGCTGGCTTGGTCGCTGTGTTTCTAGAATAGGTTTTCTTTGATGTTCATCTGTTTACCTGCTTTCAATTGCTTTCAGTCATATAACCCTATATCAGGTTAAGAAATAAAGTGTTTTGTGAGCAGCCTGAATGGCAGATTGGTAGCTAAATTATAAGTTTATCTTTGATTCCTGGTGTCACAAAGATTGATTTTTAGATCAGTCTTTCCAAAACTTCTCAGGCGTTAACTGCTTTGACAACCATCCAAATCATATATGCTTACAGATTTTTTTTCTTTTTGCTAAAAAATAGTGGATTGGTATATACACAGTATGTTTTATGCTTAATCTATTATTCAGTAATATATTTCATGTGTTGAAATGTGTTTTGAGTTTATAGGGATAATAAAAGGCTGTTTTTATGTGTTTGTTTTGACATTTCAGATGCCCCCCAAAAAGGCAGGGGATGGAATTAAACCACCCCCAATCATTGGAAGATTTGGAACCTCTCTGAAAATTGGTATTGTTGGATTGCCAAATGTTGGGTAGGTGAACACTGAGGCTTCTTGTATTTTCATTTCATAATTATTTTGGGTCCTATTGTAGAAATGGGTACTCATGAGGTAATGAGAATTAAAGTTGAAGAAAAGAGGCCAGGGAGCTGGAATATTAATATTGCAAAATTGGGCTTTAATTTAGATGTGTTTTATTGATTTCACTACTGGCTGGCTATGTGTGGTATCTATGTTGGCTGGCTACCAAAGGCGATGCAGTAGGATACGTTAGGAAATAGTTTTAAAAGTTCCATTATAAATTAGATTTTTGGGCGATCAGGGGTTAGATGGGTGAACTTTTACTGGAAAAAGAGGTGACAGTATTGAACTTAGTATTAAAACTTGCTAGATAAAAGGGTTCTTGTTATGAAGTGTCTAAATCTGAAAGTTGTGAGCAAAAATTTGAGTTTTATAATGATTTAAAAATTAAAGTGCATCATGTGTTTGCAAATAAGATAGCGATAGGAAATTTATATAGGGTTTATCATGCAAATCTATACACATGCAACCTAAATGTTCAAAGTCTGCTTTTTTATTCTTTAGCCTTTCACTAACTTTAAAATATAAAGTGCTTCTAAAGTGACTGTGGTGGTATACTAATGAGTTACAGATCCAGGTTGGATTTGTGAAAGTGACTGAGAGTATTTGGGAATGTACTTTGGGCATTTAGATAGGTAACAAGTACTACCATGTTTTTCCATGTGTTCCTTGGTGCGATTGTCATGGAGGTTCCACCGTGAATGGAGCATGGTATGACCAAGTAAGGCAGTGCTGAAGTTCTTATAATGTAAAACATTATAAGAACTGGCACAGTGATTCAAGCTTGTAATCCCAGCACTTTGGGAGGCGGAGGCGAGAGGATCGCCTGAGCTCAGGGATTCGAGACCAGCCTGAGCAACATGGAGAGACCTTGTCTCTACAATAAATCAAAAAATTAACCAGGCATGGTGGCACTTGCCTGTGGTTCCAGCTACTTGGAAGGCTAAGGTAGAAGGATAACCTGAGCCCAGTAGTTAGAGGCTGTGGTGGCCATGAGCGTGCCACTGCCCTCCAGCCTGGGCGACAGAGTGAGACTCCGACTCAAGAAAAAAAAAAAACCAGAACAAGAACAAGTGTGGTTGTCCTAATTTCAGTCTTTCCTGGAGTGGGAGAGTTTTGCATTTTGAAGGGGTTTCCTGCTGTGATATAGTCTGCTTGCAAAGTAAGACTAAGTTGAGTGTGGAAATGTAAGCAAAACAAATCAAAGTATGGTAGGGTGCTATCAAGAAACTTGAAAGCAGCCAGGCTCGGTGGCTCAGCCTGTAATCCCATGCCTTTGGGAGGCTGAGGTGAGTGGATTGCCTGAGCCTGCGGGTTTGAGACCCGCCTGGGCAGCAAGACCTCATCTCTACAATAAATCAAAAAATCAGCCGGACGTGGTAGCGCATGTCTGTAATTCCAGCTACTCTTGGAAGGCTGAGGCGGAAGGATCACCGGAGCCCAGCAGATTGAGGCTGCGGTGGCTGGGAGCGGCCACTGCACTCCAGTCTGGGTGACAGAGTGAGACTCCAACTCAAAAAAAAAAAAAGAAATTTGAAAGCAAGGTATGATCATTATGTATGATGTGAACTTTATTGCACTAGTAAGGAAGATGTAGTTTTTAGGTATTAATATACTTCTCTTATTCTAGAATTGCTGCAGCCAATGTAACTTGACTTAAATGGGACTATTCTAAAATGGATCATTCTGTGGGGCTTTTTTTTGCTATGTTGCCCAGGTTTTGAGTGCCTGGCCTCAAGTAAACTCCCTCCTTGGCCTTCCAAGTTGCTGGGATTACAGGTGCAACCAGTGTAGGATCAAAAATATTGGAAAAACTCCAATAAAAAATAACAATACAGCAATAAAAATAATACAAATAAAAAACAATACAGTATAACCACTATTTACATTGCATTAGATATTATACTATACCATTGTATACAGGGGTTGGCAGATGTTGGTATCTGTTGAGGATCCTGGAACCAGTTCCCACAGCCACTGAGGGATGACTGTAGGTTGTAGAGTGTAATAAAATCAATGTACATGAAAATTTATTGTTTTGTGTAAATGAGCTATTTACTCTTTTAAATCAAATACTACCCACCCTTCCCCTGTTTCCTTGAGGTATGCTTTACAAACAGTAAGTCACTTATTTTAAAGGTACAGTTTAATGAGTTTTGGCAATTGTGATTGGTTGTAAACATTACTTTTTGTAGAATGAATCTACTTTACCCAGCTATTCCGGTTAGGGTTCTTTGTAATTGACACAGTTTTGGCTATTTTAAGCAAGCAAAAGGATAGAATGGAAGGAGGAGCTGAACAGCTAGACCTCAGGAGGGCTGTGAACCTGGTGGTGCTGGAGAGATGGATGCATGTGGAGCTCATCTGCATGAGCTGTTGGACTTCGGGTTGTTCCTTGTCTCCTCCTCTTCTCCTGTGATTCCGGTTCCTGAGTAAGACAATCTGACTGGGCATGTCTGTCTCTAGATAGGTCTAAAAAAATAGATTGTGGGAGGGGACTGTTCCTAAAGGATGGCCTACTGATAAGGACATTCAGGGTAGAAACCATCTAGAGCAAGGGTCTCCAACCCCTTGACTGCGGACAGTACCCATCCATGTAGGAACCGGGCTGCACAACAGGAAGTGAGTGGCTGTGAGTAGAGCTGTATCTACTGTCAGATCAGTGGTGGCATTAGATTCTCATAGGAGTGTGAACCCTAATGTGAACTGCATGTGAGAGATCTAGGTTGTGCGCTTCTTGATCCCCCTCTCCACCCCTACTGTCCATGGAAAAATTGTCTTCCATGGAACTCATCCCCGATGCCAAAAAGGTTGGGGACCTCTGATATAGAGAATCTTTTGATTTTTAGCTGGATAAATAAGACTGATTGCCTAGACACTTAGAGTTAATAGTTATAGTTAACTGGATACTTATTGAACACTATATACCAATGACTATTTTGAGTGCTTTATATATTTTATCTAACTTTAATTCCCTTCAATTAGAATTAAATTCTATGAAGGCAGAGATTGTGTTGTTCTGCCTTATTGGTATATTTCTAGTGCCTAGACTGGTGTTAGAAACATAGTAAGTATTCAGTAATTATTTATGAATGAGGTAGATATTTTCCCTTTGGTGGCTGTGTGTAAATTTAATGATTAATTGACATGTTTTGGAGGCCAAGGTGAGAGGATTGCTTGAGCTCAGTTCAAGACCAGCCTGGGCAACATAGTGAGACTTTATATCTACAAAAAACAAAACAAACCAAAAAGAAAGAAATTGACATGTCTTAGTGACTATCTTTAATGAAGTATAAAGAATGTGGAAAGAATATGGTGATTTGGTTTTTTGTTCTGTACTGCTTTTTCTTTCTTTCTTTCTTTTTTGAGTTAGAGTCTCACTTTGTTGCCCAGGCTGGAGTGCAGTGGCATGCTCATGGCCACCTCAGCATGGACCTGCTGGGCTCTGGCAATCCTTCTGTCTCAGCCTTCCAAGTAGGTGGAACCACAGGCGCGCGCTACCATGTGCGGCTAATTTTTTATTTATTATAGAGACGGGGGCTCGCCAAGTTGCCCGGGCTGGTCTTGAACCTACGGGCTCAGACAGTTCACTCACATTGGCCCCCCAAAGTGCTGGAATTACAGGCTGAGCCACAGAGCCTGGCCCCGTACTGCTTTTTATTTTTTATTTTTCTTACCTGAGTGAGTCTTTATAAATTAGCTTCTCTTAGACCAATGTATTATTGTGGGTGTGAGGCTTAGAGGCTGCTGGGGGGATTACATTTTGATACAGTATTCCAAACTTCTTCACTTCTGTCAAGGATTGCTCTTCTTGTTTCTGCCATTGCATTAGATGGGATTAGGTTCAATTAGGAGCATCAGAAAACCCTACACAATCAGTTTCTTTTTTATGTAGAAATGTGCATTCTGTGGTTATCGATTCATGTAGGGATCTGCTTTATGGAGTCCTCAGGAACCCAAGCTTGTTGCAGCTTGCAGTTTGGCAGTTCCCAAGGTGTGGCCTCATCCTTGTAGTCTGGTGTGTTGTGAATTCCAGGTAGGTCGTTATTGGAGGGTCAAAGGGCCAAACTTGGCCTGTAAACTGCCATACCATATCTCTGCTAACATTCCTTTGTCCAGAATCTAGTCACAATAATTTTGCTGGCTGTATGTTCAATTAAAAGTTTTATTACCCTGAAAGAAGGGGAGAACGGATATTGGGGACAACTAGTATACTCGCTTCCACGCTCAGGACTGTCGCAGGAGGGTAGTTGTCTCACTTAGCTACTGGTTCTGGAAATGTGTTTTGGTGTCCCTACTACTTGCCTTCTCCCAATTTACCAGAAACCAGTCACAGAGTTTGTAAGAACTACTGTTGCTGAGAGAAAAGGTGGTAAGAAATGCTGGGGGAAAAAAATCCCCTCAAATGACACAAGATAATTATCATCGTTTTAGTTGTCCATTGTTGTGTAGCAAACCACTCCAAAAGTCCATGATTTAAAACAACAGTTTAGTATTTCTCAGGATTCTTTAGGTGTTTAGATGAGTGGTTTTTTTGTTAGTTTGTTTTGGGTTTTTTTTGAGCCAGGGTCTTGCTCTGTTGCTCAGGCTGGAGTGCAGTGGCAGCACGATCATGGCTTATCACAGCCTTGACTTCCTGGGCTCAGGTGGTCCTTCTGTATCAGCCTCCTGAGTAGCTGGGACTACAGGCATTTGCCACCATGCCCAGCTAATTTTTTGATTTTTTTTTGGTAGAGATGAGGTCTCACTAATTGCACAGGCTGGTTCTTAAATTCTTAGCTCAAGCAATCCTCCTTTCTTGGCCTCTCAAAGTACTGGGATTACAGGTATGAGCCATTGGGCCCCATCTAGATGCTAGATGAGTCATCTGCTGGTGTCTCTTGGGGTCCCTCGTGTGGCTACATTCAGCTGGTGGCTAGTTGGGACTGGGAAATGCAAGATGGCTACTCCCA